GCAGTTTGCATAAATGGGGACAAATCAGAATGGGGGCACGTCACAAGCGGTGTTCCGCAGAGGTCAGTGTTGCGCCCTTTGTTGTTCACAATTTATATAAATGACATAGATGAGGGAATAAATAGCGACATAAGCAAATTTGCTGCTGACACAAAAATAGGCCGTTCAATTCACTCTAATTAGGACCATAGAGCACTTCAGGATGATTTGAATAGACTGATGCAATGGTCAGAGAAATGGCAGATGCAGTTTAATATAGACAAATGCAAAGTCCTAAATGTTGGACAGGAAAATAACCATGCCACATATAAACTAAATAATGTAGCTCTTAATACTACTGATTGCAAAAAAGGATTTAGGAGTTCTGGTTAGCAGTAATCTAAAACCAAGACAACAGTGCATTAGTGTTCGCAATAAAGCTAACAGAATCCTTGGCTTCATATCTAGAAGTACGTATAAATAAGAGAAGCCATCAGGTTGTTCTTCAACTCTATATATCCTTGGTTAGGCCTCATTTGGATTATGCTGCACAGTTCTGGTCACCGTATTACAGAAAGAATATAAATGCTCTGGAAAACGTACAGAGGAGGATGACAAAGATGATCCCATGTATCAGGAATCTTCCCTATGAGAATAGACTGAGGGGCCTGAATCTGCATTCTCTCGAAAGACATAGAATTAGGGGGGATATGATCAAGGTGTATAAATGGAAAACAGGAATAAATAAAGGGGACTTAAATAGCGTGCTGAAAATTTCCCACCAAGACAGGACTCACAGCAATGGTTTCAAGTTCGAAAAATTCAGATTCAGGAAGGATATAGGAAAGCACTGGTTTGGTAATAGAGTTGTGGATGAGTGGAACAAACTCCCGAGTACAGTTATTGAGGCTAAAATATTGTGTAGCTTTACAAATAGGTTAGATAAATACATGAGTGGGTGTGGGTGGGTGTGAGTTGGACCTGACTAGCTTGTGCTACTAGGTCTGATGCGGTGCTCCTTCCTTAAGTGGAAGTGACCTGATTAGGTGGGTCATTGGGCTAATCCCGGAGGTAAGACGGACCTGCTTCGCATGGGTCAGTAGGCCTGCTGCAGTGTTCCTTCTTTCTTATGTTCTTATGAGTCATATTGGGACTTTAATATCTCACTTATTTCTCGGCTATCATCTGTGTATGTCCCATCCTGCCTAAGCAGGGGCCCAATACTGGATGTTGTTTTTCCCTTAGATTTGGCATAAATGAAGAAGCATTTTGAGTTTTTTTTTTTATTTACTGAAAGATTTTCCTTTTCGGGCCACCCTGCCTTGGTGGGAAACGGCCGATGTGTTTAAAAAAAAAAAAAATAATAATTATGTACAAGTCTGCCATCACAAATCTGGCAATCAGACATTCGGTTTCATCATTTATTCGGCACTAATTTTGGCTAACATAATTTCAAATTTCCAAGGTTGCCACATCAACCTGCTGGTACTGTTTGGTGTAGCTAGTTGCTGCATAAGTCATTCCAATTTCTTTTTCTCCATTTATTGTTATAGCCTGCTTACTTTTAGCCCTAGCCATGGTTCCAACAAATAAATGCTTCCTGTTGTGTAAAGCACCTATACAGTACACTGTCCATTAAAGAAGGTGGTTTTGAAGCCACTGCCGGTTGCCATGAGCTCAGTCTTGTGTTGCAGGAGAATATGCTTTATTAAAGAGGCAGGGCCAGGAGCTTGGACTCGACCCCTGCAACCTCAACTAGGTGAGTACTACAGCTTATTTGCCTATCACAACTGATCTAATATGACATAATACACAATATAAATAACAAAAACATGTTAAATACTCCAGAATAAATAATGTTTGGCATAATACCGAGCAGTTTGACGGAGGTATGAAGAGCATACGGGATACAAGTACCATTCTCCTATCCCTGTCTTGGGGGCTTATATATTAGGGAAAACGGAGTAAAGCACAGGGCTAGCTATGATACACACTCGTACTGCACCATAAAACTGAGACAAAAAAGCTATTTTCTCTACATAGATTATCACACATAGCAGCATACGTGTAGAGTACCCAGGATAACCCAAAAAAGTCAGACAAAGTGGCTTATTTCTACTACCTAGCTTGGGCTAGCCATATATGAGTTTTGGTAAGTATTTGATTCCCAGCCAGGGTAGAAACATTGGGCGTGTTTCTTTACACCTGTTGTCTATGTTCACCCATCAGTAAATGGGTACCTGTATGTTAGTGGACTGGTGTGGGTGTTATCCTGAGACACTGACCTAATGTGCCTGAAATGCTTAGCATAACAAGGGGCATTCTATATAGTAGTATGTCATTGATGTCAGCTAGGCCTATATACCATGTACATGTACTTGTAGTAAATAAAGATATTATATTATTATTTTTCTCTCTCAGTTGTTTGTTGGGCTATTTTATTGAAACTTGGGCAGTGTATGATGGAAAGATGCTTCTTAACCCTTTGACTGTCGCGGCCGTATATATACGTCTACGAGGTACCGTGTTTGACGTATATATACTCATAAATTCTAGCGGCTTCAAATCAAGCAGGAGAAAGCTGGTAGGCCCACATGTGAGAGAATGGGTCTGTGTGGTCAGTGTGCACCATATAAAAAAAATCCTGGAGCACGCAGTGCATAATGAAAAAAAAAAACTGACCGTTTTTTTTAATTAAAATGCCGACTTTGTGGTCTATTTTCGTATAGTATTTATGGTTGTATTCTCGTTTTCTTGGTCTCATTTGATAGAATGGAAAACATATTATAGAAATAGAGGTGATATTGATTGATTTTACTATAAAAAGAACCTAGAAATGGAGCTCAAAGTAGGAGAAATGTTTGATTTTTGCCAATGTTCAAAAGTAAACAAATGATGCCATTGTCCAATAAATGTCCAACTAGCCATTCTAATATGCAGTCATGAATGGGTTGATGTTATTTATACAATTATTACAGTATTGCAGTAGTCTGCATAATAGTAAGTCTTCTATTTTTTGTTTGAATAAAAATTCAAAATAGAAAGCAAGAGCATTATCAGAGGGGCCTGGAGACATGACTGATGAACAAAGAAAATGTTATTTTAGAGCCGGGAATGTCTGTATTGTTCATTCTGGACCTTATTTTGAAATTGTAATATTTTTTAGTTTTCGTGAAATTGGCCAAATTGCAAATTTCTGACCACATTATTAGGTAGTTGAAATTGGTAAATGGGCAGTTTCTTGTACTCAATCGATAGAAAAAATAGAGTTCTAAAGAAATAGCTATGAGTTTGGGTGACTGGAACAATGGAATTAGCCGAAAATAGGGCTCAAAGTGGGCGAAATAGCCGATTTGTAAACAGCGCCGAGGTCGCTAACTTCGCGAGAGCATAATTCCGTCAGTTTTCCATCAAATTTTGTTTTTTTTTTTGGTGTCATTACATTCGGGAAAAGATTCTCTATCATTTCATAAGAAAAATTTTTTTTTTTTTTTTTTTTTAAATTTTGCGACACCAGGAGACACCTCAGTATTGGGGGTTGCGACAGTCAAAGGGTTAACATACATCAAAAATGAAAGTAATCAGACCATAAATAACAGAGTTCACTTCTCAGCCATTAGCGGCCCCATAGCGGTATATTTTTGTGTGGTTTTTATGGTTGCATTCTCGTTTTTTTGGTCTCATTTGACAGAATGGAAGATATATTACAGAAATAGATATGATTTTGATTGGTTTCATGATGAAAAGTACCTTGAAATTGAGCTCAAAGTAGTGGAAATGTTTGATTTTTGCTGATGTTCAATGAACTTTGTGTAAGTCAAGTTGGTTCATTTTATTAAGTGTATTCTAACCTAACCACTCTGTAATCTGGCACACTCAGTAATCCAGCACACTACAGGTCCCAATGATGCTGGATTTGTGATGGAGGACCTGTACTAGGATTAGTCTGCTTGAAATGCCCCAGCATGATATTGGCTTTCTTCGTACTTAGCAAACTAAATTTATAATTACACATTATAACCTTTACAAAGAAATAAATTCTTTATCTTTATCTGGGCAAAATCTAGGTTGCTCACCTGTTAAGAACTATGTATGATGTAAATGACCTTGATTAAAGTGTATCCCAGAGTTGCTACAGTGTATCAAAGAAACTGTTCTCAGTGATGTAACTTAAGGGCACTATGTCCCAGACTGGATGTTACATGGCTTCCATAACCCATGCTAGGTAATTGTTTATATATTTAGTGCTGTGGTAAGGGCTGGGCCTGATTATGTAAGCCACTTCATACATACTGCATATATTTTCTTTTGTAGCTAATATAGTTAATTTTTTGTACGTCAGTAGTTTAACCTGTTATCTGAACTAATGGCAGGTTAAGTTTCAGGGAATGAATTGGACTTCCCCATGAAGGTACACCACCTGTACACTTTACTGGATATTAGTGAGCTTTCTCACCTCACTACACATTGTGGGAATACTGAATGTAACATTGAAAAGCACATAAAATCATAAGACCTCCCCATGATTTAATGGCAAAGAGGAATACAGTGGCATGTTCACTGTTTTGTGCTGAAAATGCATTCCAGTCCCACAGCAACTCTATTACGGTAAACTCAATTCATTCTACATAATAAAAATATTTGTTTTTCAAACTGTAGTGATTGCATACAGCAAATGTGTATCACATACAGCAGAAACAGGATATCACATTATGGCAAATTCCCCTAAAGCAAGAGAAACGTGCACCTAGTTCAGTACATCAATATTTTAGAGGTAATTATTTTTATCAACAAGTCTGTTAGAACATTTACAAATTCTGTTCACTAATGTTATGAATTTAACTAATTGACATGTAAAAACATTAGGCATAAATGTGGGACAGTGCAAGTTTAATTTAAATAGTAATATTTTTACAAAGCTCATACTAAACTCAGTGTATCCAATATAATGTATTAATTTTTCAAATACAGTATAAAAATAATCCATGCATCCTTTAGTACAAGAGCTTTCAGGATCTTACCGGTAACTTTTGAGTGGCCTGTCCAGGTGTGCTGCTGGTTAAACAATGTAAATGAATTCGACCACCCTCAACTGTCAAGACTGAAAACCTGGTAGTGGTAGATTCATGGCAAGCTACTATTTGGTTAACCTCACCATTCTCTGATGCAGATGTTCTGAGTGACTTAAGTGTCATGCAAATGAGATCCTGAGAAAAAATGAGATATCAATAGTACAAGTTTCATTTGCAGAAGAAAAGATTATATGCTCACAAATAGCAAAAATGACACTAAATGAGGGAAAGTTTTTATTGATCTATTTCACCTACTGATAGGGAGGGGGTGGGGTAAGCTTTATCACTACGAAGAAAACATGAGAACACAATACATTTTACATGGTACACTTAGCAACTGAGGCCAGATCAGAAAGCGGAATCTCCTAGCACCCCAGGAGGCGGCTTACTGGACTATGCTGTGTTTTATGATTCCATTGTTCTTGGATGTTGTGGGCAATGGGTGAAGCTAAGGTGAACATGCCACCATTCTGATTAATGGTGTTAGATAATTTCATAGACCACATATCTATTAATTTTGTCATATACATAAAATAAGCATAGCTTTTTCCCCTTGTTATAAAGTGGGCATGGGAGTGCAGTATTGTATGCAAGCATTAATTTTGCTGTCAGTTCTGCATACTTATTAATCTTCTTGTAGACATGTGGAAAAACTTCTGGTGTTTTTTTCCAATGAAGAAAAAATTAAATCCAATAAAAAATTGATTTCTTTGCAAAGGTTACAATGTGTGTTTACATTTCATAATTTAGTTGGTACAAAGAAAGCCACTATCATGCTGAGGCATTTTGGGCAGACTTAACCTAATACTTAAAGACTACTTAAGTCTAGACAGGTGAAGTGGTACATTACAAATAATCAATATTTTACTCTATTATTAATATGAGGTAGTACAATTTATGATACAGACATACATTTTTAAGTTTGTAATAATGGATTAATAGTTAAGGGATAATAAAATATTTGGGAGAATTGCTGCAAATTTGATTAGAGATTAGTATAGTGTGTGTATGGTCGTTACTGAGGGATGAGATGATTTTTAAGTGAAGTCCTAAATTGATTTGTGGGCAGGGGACCTCTTGTTGCTTCGGGTAAAGAATTCCAGATCTTTGGGCCCTTTATGTGCATTGCATTTTTGCATAGTGTGAGATGGACTCGAGGGATGTCAAAAAGTGTTTTGTATCTCGTGTTATGACTGTATTTTGTTGAAGCTGTCTAGGAGAAATTTGAGTGGAGGGTTCATATTGGAGTTTAATGTTCTGTATATATATATAGTAGGCACAATAACAAGTGTGTATATTTTGTATATCAAGTAAGTTCAAGCTCTTGAAGAGTGGTGGGGGTGTGTTGTCTGGTGCAGGAGTTTGTGATCATCAGCACAGCAGCTTTTTGTTGGGTTACTAAAGGTTTAAGGTGCTTGACCATAGTAGAACCCCAAGCACAAATACCATAGGTGAGGTAAGGGTATATTAGAGTGATATAAAGTAAGGAGAGCAATTTGGGGTACATAGTATCATATCTTGGAAAGGATGACTACTGTTTTGGAAATTTTCTTAGTTATATGCTGGATGTGGGTCTGAAATTTGAGATTACAGTCAAAGTGGAGACCTAGAAATTTGCCTTCAGTGCGTCTTGTAGTGGGTGAGCCATTTATCGATATGTTTAGCTGGATATTTAATGCTCTCTTTCCAAAAAGCATTAAGAAGGTTTTGTCTATACATATTGAGAGCGAGTTTGTTGGTCGTCACCCAGTTTGATATTTTATGTAGCTCGCTGTTTACAGTGTGTTATGGGGCTATAGGACCCAACATGTATTTATAAGTAACAGTTACTCTGGAATACCTAATTATATTGAATTGATGGGGACTTTGCTCTAAATGTCAGAAGGACTGATCAACCTTATGACTGAGAGGCAGCTGGGTCAAGCCTATTTTTCTCAATATAATAGGTTATACTATAGACACATAAACACACAATTTAAATAAGTAGTTTATAAAGTTGTATTTCTTTTTGTAAAAGTAAAATTAAGGTGTGGTAGAATTGTGGTAACTGGAGAATTGTGCTTGGCAACAGTCTTTTGTTTTGGTGGGAGGAGCTTAGCCAGGCTCTCTCTCTCTCTCTCCCTCTCACTGACTCCCTCTCTCTGTGGCTGACCTTCAACCTGGCAGGATCTCTGGGTCCTTCTTCTATCTTTTGGGGCATTATGTGTGCTCCAGGGGTGAGTTTTTATAATTTAAGTTGTGGCCACCATACCCAGGGTGACTAAAGTGTGTCAAAACACTGGTTAGCCCAGAGTTGTCAAGAAGAGTGAAGGACAAAAGTTGTTGGAACACACCATGTGGAGAACAGGTATGGAGTGTGTAGATTTTGTTTTGAAAATGGGAGGCTGTGATTGTATATTCTGTACATATCTATTGAGAATACAGTTAGATTTTTATAGTAGTAGTTTACATATCCTGTGAAGAGGGCTGGTGAGAGGATATGAGACACTCAGGATGATTAGCCATAATGTAAGTATTACCCCTAGACAAATAAGGCCATTAAGTAAAAAGCTACCCCACACTAGAACATGTAGTGAGAACCTTACTATCAAAATAATAAGGGACAACCAACATAACACAGTGTCACTAAGTATAGCCGGGTTTGGGTGGGAGATGTAAGTGGTGTCATATGTGAACAGAACTGGTTTAACCCTTTGACTGTTTTGGTCGTATATATACGTCTTACGAGCCACAGTGTTTGGCATATATATACTAAAAAATTCTAGCGGCTTCAAATCAAGCAGGAGAAAGCTGGTAAGCCCACATGTGAGAGAATGAGTGTGTGGTCAGTGTGCACCATATAAAAAAAATCCTGCAGCAGGTAGTGCATAACAAGAAAAAAACTCCGACCGTGTTTTTGGATTAAAACGCAGATTTTGTGGTGTATTTTCATATAGTATTTATGGTTGTATTTTCATTTTCTTGGTCTCATTTGACAGAATGGAAAACATATTATAGAAATAGAGCTGATGTTGATTTTTTTTACTATGAAAAGAACCTTCAAAGGGAGCTCAAAGTAGGGGAAATGTCTGATTTTTGCTGATGTTCAAAAGTAAACAAATAATGTCATTGTTCAATAAATGTCCAACTAGCATTCTAATATGCAGTCATAAATGGGTTGACATTATTTATATAACTATTACAATATTGCAGTAGTCTGCATAACAGTAAGTCTTCTATTTTTTGTTTGAATAAAAATTCAAAATAGAAAGCAAGAGTAATATCAGAGGGCCCTGGAAACATGACTGATGAACAAAGAAAATGTTATTTTAGAGCCAGGAATGTCTGCATTGTTCATTCTGGACTCTATTTTGAAACTGTCATATTTTTAATTTGCATGAAACTGGCCAAATTGCAAATTTCTGACCATGTTATTGGGTAGTTGAAATCAGTAAATGGGCATTTTTTGTACTCAATCAATAGAATAAATGGAGTTCTAAAGAAATAGCTATGAGTTTGGTCAACTGGAGCAATGGAATTAGCCGAAAATAGGGCTCAAAGTGGGCGCAATCGCCAATTCATAAATATCGCCAAGGTTGCTAACTTTGCGAAAGCGTAATTCCATCAGTTTTCCATCAAATTTCATTCTTTTGGTGTTATTACAATCAGGAAAAGATTCTCTATCGTTTCATAAGAAAAAATCATGGGAGGGGGGGAATTTTTGCGACACCAGGAGACACCTCAGGATTTGGGGTTGCAACAGCCAAGGGGTTAATAATGAACAGATTGAAAGAATTTTCACAGCAAACATAAATTGAATGTTTTAATTTCGGATTTACCTGGAGTTTACCTGGAGAGGGTTTCGGGGGTCAACACCCCCGTGGCCCGGTCTGAGACCAGGCCTCATAGTGGATCAATCTGATCAACCAAGCTCTTACTGCTGGCCACACGCAAGCTAACGTACGAACCACAGCCCGGTTGGTCAGGTACTGACTTTAGGCACCTGTCCCGTGCCTTCTTAAAGACAGCCAGGGGTCTATTGGTAATCCTCCTTATGTATGCTGGGAGGCAGTTGAACAGTCTTGGGCCCCAGACACTTATTGCATTGTCTCTCAATGTACTTATGGCGCCCCTGCTTTTCATCAGGGGATTGTTGCATCTCCTGCCGAGTCTTTTGCTTTCATAGGAAGTGATTTTCATGTGCAGGTTTGGTACCAATCCCTCCAGGACCTTCCAAGTGTATATTTTCATGTACAGTAAGGTCCTGCTTTACAGCGTTTCGCCTTACGGCGTTCTGCTAATACGGCAATGTCAAATTATGACCAAAATTTGCTATACAGCAAGCAAGCGATCTTTCAAATACGGCGCCCCCCACCCGGTTTGTTTACATTTTCCATGACATCTTTTATGTCAGGAAACTTTCCAAAATTTCAAGTGTTTTAAAGTTACTGCATATTTTATATGTACTCTGATAATTATACTTAAGTGTACCTGTACCTAAATATACTTACACACTGTGCTGGTTTGCAGGTACACATTAAAATAGCTACTAAGAGTCTCTCTACTCATGACGCCAATACTACGTAATAATAATCACTCTTGGGCACACTAAATGTCTTCATTTATAACGGCTCAAAACATACTCAACCCCTGCCAATTTGGATTCAGGAAAAATAAAAGCACTAATGATGCAATCATAAAAATGCTAGATCTGCTTTACACAGCATTGGAAAATAAGGAATATCCACTGGAATTTTTATTGACCTAAGAAAAGCTTTTGACACAGTAGACCACGACATCCTACTCCACAAACTTGATCATTACGGTATAAGAGGCCATGCGCTTGCTTATTTCAAATCTTACATTACTAATAGGTATCAGTATGTCACCATTAAAGACACAGCATCAGCAACACTGCCACTTGATACTGGAGTTCCGCAGGGAAGTGTCCTTGGTCCCCTGCTCTTCCTCATATACATCAATGACCTTCCAAACGTATCCCAACACCTGAAACCCATTCTCTTTGCTGACAACACGACTTATGTCATCTCTCACCCTAATCTTGCCACCCTCAACACCATTGTGAATGAGGAGCTGATCAAAATATCGACTTGGATGACAGCCAATAAACTTACGCTTAACACTGACAAAACCTA